GTAAAGTTTTACAGCCTCGGAAACCCTGCACAGGGTCACTATGAGTCGGAACTGACTCCATGGCACATAACAACAAGATGGAGGGTCAGAGAAAAAAAAGAAGATCCCCAGCGAGATGGATTGGCAACATGGCAGCATCAATGGGCTCAAGTGTGGCAACAATAGTGAGGTTGGCCCAGAATCGGGCAATGTTTCATTCTGTTGTGCATAGGGTTACTATGAGTCTGTACCAACTCGATGGCACCTAACAACAACAACAAAGACATAAATGCCCTAGACTGCAGAATTCCAACTATATAACCTGGAAAAGGTGGAATTCTAGAGGTAGTAACAAAGCAGAGTTTTTGCCAGACTGGGGACGCAGATTACCTAACAATTAAGGTAAGCTAGAGTTTACTTGTGCTTATGTACTAACCTGTAGTGAATGATTTCACATGGGTTTCATCACACCATGCGGTGAAAAACATGTGAACCTGTTCACTACAGATTAGTAAGTAAGCACAAGTAAGCCTGTGCTTACCTTGGTGAGTAGGTACTCCATCCCTGTTAAGGACTGTAAATTTGTAAAGTGGCTCTGATGCTGAGGAGGAGCTGTGGGGTTGGGAGAGACAGATGGCAGTCAGACCTAGAGGAAGCATCTTCAGTGTGGTGAATGAAATGTGAAATCACTCACTACAGATTAGCAAGTAAGCACAAGTTTACCTTGCTTACTAATTGACATTGTTACCAGAAATTTGGGGACAGAAATGAGCAGGCCATGTTTAGGGCAGTGAAACTTGTGTAGGATCCTGTCATGGTAGACACATGGCATTGGTTGTTGTTGTTGTTAAATGCCATGGAGTCGGTTCCGACTCACAGTGACCCTGCACAGGGTTTCCGAGGCTGTAAATCCTTATGGGAGCAGAAAGCCTCATATTTCTCCCGCGGGACAGCTGGTAGTTTCGAACTGCTGACCTTGCAGTTTGCAGCCCGATTCGTAACCACTACACTACCAGAGCTCCTTACACACATGACATTAGGCACTTGTCTAAACCCACAGGACCATCCATCACAAAGTGTGAACCCTGGACTCTTCAGGGATCAACATTAGTTCCTCAGTTGTCACATGTTTACTCCTGGAATGCAAGATGTGGACAGCAGGAGAAACCAGGCAGTGGGGAGAGAGGTCGCTGAAAACTACTTTCTGTACAATTTTTCTGTAAACTTAGAACTGTTCTAAAAAATAAACACACACAGTTTACAAAACCTTGAAACTCCTTAGGCCTCATCTCCAAAGACTTCTTTCTGGGTCTGTGAGAGGGGGGCAGGGGCAGCGGCATGAGACAGTAGGGGAGACAGTAGGGTCAGTACACCGCGTCCATGCAATTGGGGTGGCCAGTGCTCTGGGCAGTCACAGACACAGGAGTTGGGGCAGCTTGGGGCAGCCAGAGAAAGGAGCTAGAGAAGGCCAAGTTACCAGACTGTGAGAGCAATGGACAAGCAGGACAGACTAGCTCCGGGCTTTTCACAGCAACCCAGAGGATGAGAAACTTATCCATCACAGTGGTCATGAACATAAAAAATTAACTGATGGCAAAATAGTTTTGAAGATGACTAGGAGATCCCGGGTGCCCAGAGGCCGGGCAAGGATGGAGGGACCAGGCTGGAGGAGAGGGGAGGGCTTGAAGGAGGTCTGCAGAGTTCAGGGGACAGGGAGGAGGTTGCAGGACAAGGGGAACTGGACTGGGCAGTGTGCTGCCTAACTGTGGGGTACAGAGGCCCAAGGCGTGATGTAGGAGGTCACAGATGGGAGTAAGAGTGTGCGGAAGTGGGGAGGCGTGTGAGTGATGGGGTGTGAGGATATAGGGCAAGTCCCGGACAACACAGGGATGGTGACAATTGTGTCATTTGTGAAGGGAATGACAGCAGTAACACATGCTTTATGCCGTTTTCACACAACCCCACAGTGTAGGTGCCATTGTGGTTCCATTTAAAGATGAATAAATGAGGCACAGGAAAAGTATTAGCTACATTCACCCCATTCACCCCGATGTTCTCATGCAGAATCCCACTTCCCTGTGAGCACATGCAGCCCCACACAGGAATTGAGTGCGCAGGCCCCTTGCCCAGGGTCAGTCCACAGAGGGCCAGAGGGCCCTGCATGACCACAGTCAGGCCCCGACCGGAAGTGTGCTGAGGCTAAAACTCACCATGAAATAGTAGAGCTGTGATGAGCGGGCCATGAACTCGGGGCGACAAACAGCCACACAGATCTCCACGAAGCCGGCATGTTGGCTGGGCCTGGCCTCCCCCATCTCACACACGATCCTGTAGAGAGGAGGGGGACAGTCAAAGACCTCCTATAGTGCCCTGGGCCCTCACCCTCAGCCCCCCACCGATCCTGCCTGCAGGGGTGGCTCTGCCTGGTTCTCAGGGTCCATGTGTTCTGACCCCAGGTAGCTCCTATGTCAGGACCAGCCTGCTCAGTTGTCAATTGCTGTTGTTAAATGCCATCTAATTGGTTTTGACTCATAGCAACCCTGCATAGGATTTCCAAGTAACAGCGTGTGGGTTTAAACCACTGACCTTGACCTTGTGGTTCAAATTTACCTTCTGGTCCAGTACTTTTCCTATAGTACCACACCATGACTCCCAATTGTCAGGTACAGGGAGGAAATGTTCCAGCCAAACAGCTGAGAGGCTGGAACGAGCAGAGTCCAAAGAGATAAAGCCACATCCTCAAGGGCACACGGCAAGTCCATCACAGACCTCGGAGGAGACCTTACATCTATGCTGCTATTTCCAGTGTCCTGTGCTCCTGCCCAGCTTCCTGGTAGGCAGAGAGATACAAGGGGGCCTCAAAAACGTCATGGAAAATAGAATGAAAAGATAATGGAAGTTTTCCAAGAACTTTTTGAAGGCTTCTCATATTTGGTCAAATTCCACAGTTTGAACTCACCAGTGAATCTGAGGGAGAAAGGTATGGCGATCACTCCATAAAGATTGGAACAGCCTTGGGACCCTATGGGGCAGTTCTACTCTTTCCCACAGCGCAGGGGTGTGACTCTGAGTCACCTTGATCACAGTAAGTTTGGTTTTCAGTTGCTAGTGGCAAGGGAGTTACACACTGTTCTCTTTAAAAAAAAATTTTTTTTAATTTTAATTGCAAAATTTATTCATACCCTTTAGGTCTAAAAAAAAAACAAAACACACACACAAGTGTGATAGCAAAAAGCCAGTGTTCCTTTCTTCACTTCTAACCCAAACCCTATGTAGTTGCTGTTGTTAAGTGCCTTCGTGTCGGTGAGATTGAACTTCCGACCTTGTGGTGCAAACTGACTTTGTAGTCTAGTGCATTAATCCACAGTGCCACACCTATGGGGCAGTTCTCATCTGCCATATGGGGTGGCTAGGAATCGGAATTGGCTCAGTGGTAACAGCTAATGACTAAAGTTTGGTACACAGAGCCTCCCAGACTTATATATACACACACACATGTGCATATATTTATGTTATATATACACACACATAAACATAAATGCTATATACATTCACATAATACAATTATACACAAACATGCATATATAAAGAAACATACATATGATGTTTAAAAGAAAACTGAAACATAACGTACTCTTCTAAACACAGCTGTTTCCATTCAAGGCATGGCTTCTCCTTCCTGCCACCATATCCGCAGGCCTCCTGGATTCTTTCAGCAGCTTCTGGGTACATTCCCCATTAAGATGGCACCTTTATGCATTTACCTATTCTCCTTCTGATGGACACTTAATTGATCATTTTTCTCGTACTCTAAGTAACTCTGGAGTCCTGGTGTAGCACTGTGGGCTAATGTGCTGGACTGCAAAGTCGGTTTGAACTGCAAGGTCGGTGGTTCAAGTTCACCAGTTGCTCCTGGGAAACCCTATACAGGGTCGCTATGAGTCGGAACAGACTCGACAGTACTTAACAACAACAACAAGTAATTCTACAAAACAAATGAATTTACACACATGTCCTTAAGCATTGTGTATTTATTAGAATAGAGTTCTAAGGAGAGAAATTGCTGGGAAACCAGTTTGTATATTTAACATTCAATTGTTAGGTGTCATCGAGCTGGTTTCCAGTTGGTTTTGACTCATAGGGAACCAATGCATAATAGAACGAAACACTGCCCAGTCCTGCACCGTTCTCATAATTGTTATGCTTGAGCCCGTTTGATAACATTTGCTAGGTAGAGTCAATCCATGCGCCCAAAAAGCTGTACCAATCTGCACTGCCATCCAAGATATATGAGGAAGATTACCCGGTTCTATTGCCAACTCTAGAGCTTAGCAAGCTTTTGAAAATTTTCCAATAGAGAAAAAAATATCCCATGATGATTCATATTTTTACTTCCTTGATGACTGGGGAGAATTCATATAAATTTCATGATTCATACCTTTGATAGCCTTTCCTTTTACTTATCTGGTCACATTGTCAAACCCCCAGCCTTTTGTTGCTGGACTAGGTTTCTTGTAGGAGATTTCAGAAAAGGAGTAATAACTGTTTTCTGTTGTAAATATGGCAATTTCCCCCAGTTTGCCAGCAGTCTTTCAACTTTGTTTATAATGTCCTATGCCAGATTGAAGCTTACGAAGTATCTGTGTGGTTAAATTGGTTCTTCTTTGATGGTATGGCTTCAGAGTTTTGAGTTTTTCTGAAAGAACTTCTGGGAAAAGGTATTCTAGAAGTAGATACCTTTTGTCCAGAAATCACAATTATGTGATCAGTTTTGTTTTTTTTAAAGTATGTGAAAACACAATCACCAGCAAAAATAAAAGCCAACAGTTAACTCTCCACCCCAACCGCACCCCTTCTTGTTGTTAAGTGCCGTTGAGTTGGTTCCGACTCATAGCGACCCTGGATAGAGTTTTTGAGGCTGTACATCTTTGCAGGAGCAGAAAGCCTTACCTTTTTCCTGCAGAGTGGCTAGTGGGTTCAAACCACGGATCTTATGGTTCATGGTCCAGAACTTATCTTTCAGAACCATCACGTTCCCTAACTGCACCTGTAGCATTGTCAATATTTTGGTATTCGCCTGTTTAGTCCTGCTTTTCTTTTACAACATTAATATGGAATCTGTATTCTGCTTGGTAGCCTGCATTCTTATTTAATATACCTGGAGTGTTTGCCTGACCATGCTGCTTCTATAATATCAGATTTAACGCTCATGGAGTTTGCTATCCTATGCATATCTAATACTCTATTGAATTGACTAATTTCCTGTGGGTGTTCTTGCTTGTTTATTTGTTATGGCTCAGGAATTTGCATGCCTATGCCCTCTGTTTGCTGTATTATATGCATGGATATCTTTATAGCACATAGAAATCGGTATGCAGAACTATCATCCATCAAATGTATGGTCATGAGTGTTGTCAGTTTTGCGTACTCCTACCTGTTCATTCTGCCTTTCTGCTAGGCTCTACGTGTTGATTCATGTTCGTTACTACTGATAATACAGGGGTGTGCATGTAACAATATCCACCTTTGTTGTCTGCAATGTGTGTGCATCTCTGTGTCTTCCTTTTCTCTAGTGATATTGGCTAGTTTTCTGACCGTGTAAATCTCTTCTACTTTTTCACTGTTATAAATAAGACCCAAATGAACATTCTTACAAATAAATGGAAGTGCACTGTGATTATTTCTTTAGTGAAAGTTCTGAAAGCGTTTAAGACTTTGGTTCCAAATTTCCAGATGGCCTTCTAATTTACCCTCCTACCAACAGCACATGAATCTGCCTGTTACTTGTGTCCGACAGCAAGGCCTCTACATCTTTTCCCATCGTTTTGATGATGACTGATGGTCATTTTTATATGACTTTTGGAATATCTTATTTGTATATCTTACGAATTATTCATTTATTGTTCTCTGCTCATTTTCTAACATTTGCCTTTTATTTACAAAAACTACTTATATGTTAAGAACAAAGGTTATCTATGAACTATAACAGATCATAACCATATTCCCAGTTTATCAATCTTGTTTTCATTTGGCTTGTACTGATTTCTGACACATAAATTTTATATAATCAAATCCCTTCATCTCTTCCATTATAGTTTCTTCTTTTGCAACAATCCTTAGAACATCCTTCCTTTCTTGAAATCAAATAAATTCTCACCTGCATTTTCTTCTAATCCTTTCACAGTTTCATTTGTATACTTGGCTCTTTAATCCATCTGTAATTTATTTGGATGTACAGTGTGGAAGAAGGACTTAATTTGTCCTTTGGGAATTGACCACCACCCTATATGGGAAAGAGAAGAAGACCCCCAACGAGATGCATTGGCCAAGTGGCAGCATCGATGGACTCAAGCGTGGCAACTGTAGTGAGGTTGGCCCAGAATCGGGCAGTGTTTCGTTCTGCTGTGCACAAGGTTGCTATGAGTCATGAGTCGGTACCGACACGGCACCTAACAACAACAACAACAATAGATGGGAAGGTCTTCCCTCACTGATTTGAAATGTTCTCTTTCTCATATATGGAATTCATCTAGATCAAGATTCTTTTTCTGGGTGTTTTATCTTATTCTACTGAACTAATGAGTATCGTGATATTTTAATCACTGTTGCTTTATCATGATGATTTTGCCATCTGGCTATGTAGCTCCACAGTACAGCATTATGTCTTATTTTTAAAACTTTTTACTGTGATTTGGGTGAAAGTTTCCAGAGCAAATCCATTTTCTATTCATAAACAGTTTGTTTGGTGCCGTGAGTGCAGTCCCCACAATGGGACATCACTCGTCCGGCTTCCTCCCTGTGCCTCCCTCTCCATTCTTCCTCTTTTCCTACCCCTCCCTGCCTTCTGAGCTTTGTCTCTGGGAAAATGCTGCCCTTTCATCTTGCAGGGTTGGTTGGTGGAAGGAGTGCATACCTCCCTGGCGTTACTGTTCATCTAATAAACCTGGATTTGAAAGTTCCCCTCAGCACAGTGTTTGGCAACAGATTTTGTCCTAGGAAGGGTATGGATTGTTGAAGGAGCCACAGAGGATCTTTTGGTCAACGAGTGATGATGAACAAGGGAGGTGAATCCTACAACAACCCAAGCCTTAAATCTTCTAGGTGATTCTACGTCCCTTCGGAGGAATCGCAGATGGCAGTATTGATGGTTTAGAATCACTAAATCCAAGCCAGCAGATGTGTAAACTGCACTGACCCACTAAAGGGATTTTGCAAAGACTGAATAATTTCTGCCCACAGGCCAGTAACTCTTGGAGGCGGCGAAGACGGTACAGGATATAGATTCTACTGTGCCAGTACACACCTCACAGGTGTACTTGCTGGGCTGGAAAATTGTGTTTACATATTCACAAGGCTATACACCACTCATGAACCTCCTCTGGGTTAGAGATCAAGGACATATAGAAAGCCTGCTTGGTGGACCAGTAGACTCCCAAGAGAAACATCATTTAATTCCCCACAGGCCTGGGAGTGGGTGTGAGGTTTCATTGTCAGGCCCCATGCAGAATGGCCCACGATAAGCTTCTTTAATAGAGGTATCAGGGGGCAGGAGAAACGGAGGAACATGAGTGAGGTGTTGGGGACAGCAGAGGGAATGGGGGTGAGGAATTGAACTCATGTTTCTCATGCTGATTTTAAGTTTGCTTTGTTGCCCCTCTACCACCATATACCTCAAATAGGTGGCGATTACTTCTCCCAGTCTTTTCCCTTCTCTCCACACCTTTCATTGTGGCAGTTAGCTAGGTCAGGGCTGGGGAGTTGTGGGAGTCCCCTCTGCCCACCCTAGCATGTTAGGGACCCTTCTCTTTCCTCTACTACAAGCTCTCAGACCACCTCCCACTTTCTCCTCCTTGTCTTGGGTCCCCTCTACTCACTGCTCGGCAGGGATGTAGCCGTCCACCAATGGGCTGCACTCCACGCCGGCTACCTTGACGTGGGAGGCGATGTCCCGGAATTCCATGCCCAGGTTCTCCCCTCGGATGGTGACCCTGGTGCCTCCTTCCCGGGGGCCCGTCACTGGGATGACCTGGAGGAAGAAGCGAGATCATGTGACAGGCTCTGTGCTGTGGCCATCGCCTTTGGGACAAGGAGAGGCCACCTGACTCTTCTCCATCTGTGATGGAAGATGTCCCGGTGGGTCCAACTTCACAAGGTACCCATGGTCTGGGAGAACCAGTGGACAGTAGTGGATTTTGGTACAACATCCGTGTTTCTGTGTGTATATATGTTTGCAGTAAAATAAATATACCAAAAAATTGCCATTTTAATCATCTTTGTGTGTATTTATATGTATTTGAATGACATTAATTCCATTCACCACACTATGCAATCCTAATGCTATCCATTTCCTAAGGTTTTCATTGTCCCAGGCAGAAACTGTGTGGCACTGTAGGATAAGCGATGGACCGTAAGGTTGGTTTGAACCTCAAGGTCAGCAATGCAAATTAACCGGTTGCTCCTAGGAAACCCTCTACAAGGTCACTATGAGTTGGAACGGACTAATGAGCACTTAACAACAACAAGAATCTGAAACTCAGTACTTCTTAAGCAATAAACTTCCACTTGTCCTTTCTTCCAGCCCCTGTAACCACGAAGACGCTTTGATCTGTGTATTTGTCTATTCTGGGATCACACAATATCTGGCCCTTGTGTGTGACTTAGTTCATACAGCATCATGTTTACAAGGTTAACTCAAGCCATAGCCTGAAATGAAAAGAATTTCATTTCTCTTTATGGCTGAATAATATTCCATCGCATAAATATACCACATTTTGTTTCTCCATTCATCTGCTGATGGGCACTTGGGTTGTTTCTACATTTGGCTACTGTAAATAATAGTGCAGTGAATGCTGGTGAATGCATATCTGTTTGAGTTCCTATTCCCAAGTCTGTTGGAGATGTATCCCCGAGTTGTGTGGTGTTTTCAGAGTAGTGTTCAAAGCCCCTGGTTCACATCCATTTCATAGATGAGACAAGGGAGTGGGAAGAAATTTACAGTGCTATTGGATAGTCAAGAGGAAGTCAGGATTAATGCCTTTCGGCATTTGCTTAGGCAAACTCCCCTCTCAAGTAAGGGAAAACCCCCATAGCAACCCCTAGCCAACACCTATGGAAATCCAACTCATCTGTCAAGATGCTTCTCCAACATTATCTCTCCTTTAGCCGATGCTCTCACTCTCCACCAATGTTCCGAAGCATCCTATGTACTCCCTTCATGATAATAGTCACTAGAATCTGCCTCGGGTCCCTTACCCATTCCTCCACCAAGTCCTCTCTTTGCCAAATCCTGACAGTAGGGCAGTCCTACTTCTTTGTAGGTCCTTCAACGGCACCACACATTGATCCCTTGCCAATAAATGTCCAAGTGCCCTCAGAATTTCACGAGCATCTTGTCTCAGCCCTGTGGCATCACTATCTGCTGTGATTTCTAACGGAGATGGGTCTAATAAGACTTAACTCGCATACACTGGTCAAAATGACTGAAGAAATCTCCATTGGTGTCCCAAACCCATGACTGAGATGTTGGGATCCATCAGTCATCCACAATCTAATCACACACCCCCACCCCCACCCCCCACCCCCACACACAGCAGACTGCAATGGCAGAACACATTCGGTGCCAGCCTCTCCTGGTGTCTAGTAGACCAGTGGGACACATTTCTCATTTGGGGTGGCTGGGACACTGGTGCTTGAATCTTGACCAGTGTGTGTGTGGGATCTGAAATGAAGGAGCAGACAGCTCTCCTCTAGCCCTTCTCAGAATTCCAGCTGTCGCACCACTGAGCATTCCATCCTGGGCTGAGGGTGACAGATGGGGACAGGAAAGGAAACAGGCTGAGATGTCTCCAAGGGGCCGCTTTGCTGGTTGGTCACTTACAAAGTGGAGACACTTTCTGTTTCTTGTACACCTCTGGTGTAGACACACGTTTGTGAGCATGGTAGCATAGCAGTGCATTTGGTTGATAACCAGAGGTTCCATGGTTTGAACCCTTCAGCTGCTCTATGAGAGAAAGATGTGGAATCTGCTTCTGTAAAGACGACAGCCTTGGAAACCCTATGGGGCAGTTCTCTTCTCTTTCTCATGAGGTAGAATCGACTGAACCTTTTTCATTGTTGGTTTTTGGGTGAGTTTGGGCATGAGGTTTGCACACATGTGCTCCCTCTGAGGTGGAAACAGGTTTCTTGGAAATCCAGGCTGATTATGTGAGACGGAGGTGGACAGATGTGAGCCATTCTTCCCAGATGTCTGCCCACCTGTCCCCATACATCACATCTCCTGAACACCAGCCTCAGCACCACCCTCACCACCACTTTAACCGGGGCTCAGGACTTGGTTGCTTGATTCCCCAGAGGGCCAAGCCAGCAAGAGCCAATCAGTAACCCCAGACTCGGGGAGACTTGTTCAATTTGCCATCTCTGCCCTGTGATTCCCTGGGACTCTGGCCAAGAAGAAAACAAGTCCCGCCACCTGCCAAGCACGCACCATTGGCAGCCATGCTTGATGGTGCCCGACAAGACAGAGACTCCACCAAGGGCGGCGGATGGGTGTGGCTGGGAGGATGTGTGGTCAGGTATGTGGAGGGAGCACCTACCTCCCTCTCTTCAAGATATTAAACCAAAAAACCCAAACCTACTGCCGTCGAATCACTGCTGACCCATAGCAAACCCTATAGGACAGAGTAGACCATAGGGTTCCAAGGTTGTAAGCTTTACAGAAGCCGACTGCCTCATCTTTCTCCACGGAGTGTCTGGTGGGAGTGAACTGCTGACCTTTCAGTGAGCAACCCAACGCTTAGCCTGATGCACCACCAGGGCTCCCTCAAGATACTGCTGTGGGTTAAATATGTAGATACCTCCCCCATCACTTGGAGATCACTGTTGAGATTCCTATCCATCCATAGACAGATGCAGGAGCTGAGAGAACTAAGGAAGTGAAGAAGGAAGAGGCTGAGCTGTGGATACTTTCGGAGGGCCACCCCAGGGGCAGCTCTGCTCAGGCATGCCCTACTTCTTACACATCCCTGGTGCAGGTGTACGATTGGTGAGTGAGGGCCTCAGGGAATATAAGCTTTTCCAGTGCAGTGGAGAAGAACACAAATCTAGGAGCCAGGAGAACTTGGATGCAGAACACCATTCACACTTCAGAGTTAGTGAGCATCTCTGGACATTGGTCTCTCTCTATGGAAAGGGGATAATGACTGATCTACTATGAGGACCATGGAGACAATTGGTGTGCACATGCTAGAAGTATCTACCCCAATATACGGCATATTACTCTGACTGTCATTGTCTTGGTATTGGGTAATGTGGACATCTGTGAAATTTTGCACCAAACTGGGGGCCCAGAGGCAGGACTGAGGTTCCCCTTTCTTTAATTCTCTTCTTTCTCCTCCTCCAACTAAGGACATTGCTGTAATCTGGAATCCACAATGGCTAAGAGGTACTGGGTCCCTATTCCATGCTGAGCACTGTGTAGTCGGTGGACAGATGTTGTGGCTGAAAGACCCACACAGAGTCCTGCAGTTCAGTCTCGTCCTTCTTCTGAGTGTCCAGGGATGCTGGTGCTGCTGGGGTGGGGGATACAACATTAGGTGGTCTACTGCTGGAGCATGGGGTGTGGAGGCCAAGAGAAGGAGTTACCTAAACAGCCTCCCAAACCCACTGTCATTGACTCATCTCCAACCCATCACAACTGTGGTGTAGTGAAGTATCTAATGTCTCTTCTAGCCATGGTCTGTAACGCCCAGCCAACAACGTCTCTGCCCTGCTGACAGGATGCTGACAGGATGACGGGATTCAGCTGTGGATGTTAGCAGAGCTCACTGTCACTGTTAAAACTTGAAACCCTAGCATGGGTATAAAACAAGCCATCTCAGAAGCAGGAGGGGAGAATTTCACGACCATCAGAGAAGAAAAATCAGGATTGGAGCACGTCCTTTGGACCCTGGGATTCCTGCACATTGGACCTCCTTGACTCAGGGACAGAAAATGGACAAGGAGGAGGGGCAGAGGAGCAGCGGCGGCAGAACCAGAGCACGAGGCTGAGCAGTGGGCTTCCCAGCTCACGGAGCAAGTCAAGCTGACGGACTGTTGTCAGGAAGAGGGGTAGTTAGGTGTGCTGACTCATGGAGCTAGAGCCCAGTGCCTTTAGGCTGAGGCTTATGATGGGATACTGTGTCCTGTGAGCATTTATCAGCAGCTGACTGGAACAACTGTGCCCTGAGCATTTCTGACCCTGAATTGTAATCTGTTAACTTCCCTAATGGAGTGAGTCCTGGTGTGGTGCTATAGGATAAGCACTGGACTGCAACGTTGGTTTGAATCACAAGGTTGGTGGTTCAACCTCAATGCTCATTCCTTGGAAACCCTATCTATACCAGGTGGCTATGAGTCAAAACTGACTCCACAGCACATAACAACAACAAGAAGTTTCCTAACAAACCCTGTAACTCTAAGTATGGTGTCTGAGTTCTGTGTGACCGTTGCAATGATTGACAGCAGTGAGTTTCGCGGGAGGTTCGATGAATAGTGTTTGCAACAAGCTTATTATAGGACAGAGGAGAACTGCTCCTTCGGGTTGTCAAGGCTGCCAGACCTTCAGGAGAGCAGATAGCCTTGTTGTTCTCTTTCTCCCATAGAGTGCCGGGTGCACTTGAATCACTCACCTTATGCTTATCCCACTGAGCCACCCAGGGCTGACATTCCCTTGGCCCCTACATGCAGAGTGATGATTTTAACAGAGGATGGTGACCCAGGAGCAAGAGGAGAGTGAAGTTCTTCTGGGCTGGACTGAGAGCTGAGTGCTTATCTCTGATCTCTGGGGAGAAGGGCATGGAAGGCAACCCCAGAGCTGTGGGCTGGAATGGGAACCCTGCTCTCTGTGGTCCGAATGTCTGCAGGCTGAACCCTGTCATGCACCTTCTGGGTCTCTGCATCATGGGCTTGTGTCCAGGGGCCCTCTTTCATCTTCTCACCTTCCCCCCATGCCCTGGGCCAGGCTCTGCCTTCCCTGGCTGACTTCTGGGCACAGTGTGGAACTTCACAGCCACATTGTAGACATTCTTAGACAAATGAACAGGTGGCAGGAACTCTAGTTGCCTCCAACAGCTGACATGGGGATCCCAGTATGGCAGCCAAGCCCCTCTGCCCCAGCCGAGTCCACCTGGAACCTTTGGATGACCACTGCCCACACCATGGGCTGCCTCCCTGAGTGCCTCCTCCCCGGGCAGGGAGGGATCTACAGCTCACCTCTGTGATTCGGGGGTTCGTGCACTTGCTGTTGGCACCTGACAGCTCCAGCCACCGGCTCTCGTGGATGGGGCAGTGCTGACGCAGGGTGCACTGAGCCTGGCTCTGGCACCAGCCACACTCGAAGTCGGGGTCTGCCTTGAGGCACAGCCCGCAGCTCTCACGCATGGCTCCACATTTGTATAGGTGCACTGTGGACAAAGGGGAGAGGGACGAGGGGATGGGAGAGTTTGGTAGGTGGGACAAGGCACCAAGTCCCAGCCTTGGCTGTGAGGACACATCCCCTTAGCTCTTGGGACACAGAGCAGCCCAAACGCAAACTTCAGGTCTGAGAAGTGGACTTCAAGGGTAGACATGAGCCACCAGCCTGTGGCAAGAAGAAGGCTGAAGAAGTGGTCAAAGGTAGGGGCCCAGGGACAGAGACCAAAGAGTGCTGAACTGCCCGCCGCCTGCCCCTCCGTGTCTCCCCACCAGGGCCCAGCCAGCGCTCTGTACCTTTGTTCTGAGCTGGGTTGTCAATGTTGAAGTGTCCATTCCACACAACCATCAGTTCCACGGGCAGGTTGTTGATCTCCATGCCTTCATAGGAATACTGGAGCCAAGGGGAGGAGGAAAGGGAGCTGGCCATGTAGTTCTGAGGAAGGCCCATATCCAGCCTAGGACTCTTAGGAGGGCATGGGGCTGGGGATACCAAGAATGTGTGCCTCTGTGTGCGTGTGTGTGTGCGTGTGTGTGTCAGAAAAGGCACCATGGCAGTGGGTAGGAAGCGAAAGTTTAGAAAATACAGGAGGGAGGAAGCTGGCCTGGCTAGCCCCTATTTGGAATGTTGCTTCAAGGAGTGAGTTTTGTAAGTTTCTCATTCAATCCCTTGGTTTCCAAAGGGGGCTGGTCCCCTGAGGGGCTTTCCTGAGAAAGCTGAACTGTGGGAGGAGCCACTGCCTCCCTGACCCCTGGGCATCTCTGGCCAGCTTTGACTTAAGAGCACTATTTTGGATGTCATTTTCTGCTCAGGTAAAGGCTTTATGTATGTAAGACTTGTGGAGGATGATACAGTCTTATGCGGTGAAGATTACAGAGAGGGAGCCTTACTAAGAGGTGAGAAACTGGGCTTCATTGAGAGTTTAAAGGCGACACCCTGAGGAAGCCCCAGGGGACTCTCCCAGACACTCATGGAGCATAGGGGGTGTTGGCATCCAGCGGGGGTTGCCTGTAGACCCCTTGAGGCCCTGCTTCCCTGCTGGTGCTTGTCAGGCTCTGCCCAGCGCCCTGTTAGATCCAGGCCCAGGGACTGGGCAGCTAGGAGCTAGGAGGGGCTGCCATTTTGGGGTGCTGGGTATGGGGATCCTCATGCATGTGAACCCCAATCTGCCTTCAGATGGCAGACACTGCTCAGAACCCCCGAGAAGGAAGGCAGGTGGAGGGGACTCCTAGTTGGCCTGGAACCTTTTCAGTCCCTACCTGGTGTTGCCCAGATTCTCTGGGGGAGTAGGGGTTTCGGGAGTGGACTAGATACCCTTTCTGCAGAAGAAGGGCTGATGTGAATCATCTGCATCTATTAGAAGGGGGACTGGGTTTGAAGCTATGTTTGCTGAATCAGCTGCTCTTTGAACCTAGAGATAAACATTGGGAAGGCTGGGCTGTGGAGCTGTTGACAGATATTTCAGGGGACACTTGATGTCTCCCTCAGTCAGCCACAGGGGCAGTCACACATCATCGGGGACAAAGGTCCTGGGAGAGTCTCGGGGCATGTAGGTTCCTACCTCTGACTCTGGGTAGCATATTCTTAGAGCCTTCTATAGGAGAAGATATGACCCTTGAGTCCAGGTGACTTCCTGAGTAACAGAATGTGCTCAAAGGTGAATGGATCAAGGTGTTGCCCTCACAGACCAACATAAGTAGGACCCGCATCTTGGCTTCTGCAGGGCACTAGGGCGCTTGCTAAAAGCAGACACCCCCCCCCCCACACACACACACACAGGTTTTTTTCTTCCCAGTTCCAGCTGAGTTTACTCCTATTCACAGTGACCTCATGGGTGTCAGAGTAGAACTGTTCCACAGGGTTTATAAGGGATGCGTTTTTGGAGGTAGACCACAAGGCCTTTATTCTGACGTGACTCTGGGTAGACTTGAGCCTCTAACCCTTTGCTTAGCAGTGAGTGCTTAACCATTTGCACCACTGGGCACTCCTGGCACTGGACGTGGGTGGCACTCTGGCCTCTAGGGAGGACACCGGTGGAGGCAAGCTCAGGACTTCTGCCTCCCAGGCCTAAAGTGGAAGCTTTAGGTTTGCACAGGGCCATGATGGCCAAAGATCAGTAGACCCTGCAGCTTTTACCTGAAGGCCCCTGGATACATGTGTGAGTGTCTGTGTGTACAAATATGTCCATATGTATGCTTATCTGTGAGGTCTACGCACTTATCTGTGTGATCTGTGTGCACATACACACCATCAGTAAGTGGCATTGCCAGTTACCAGCTGTGTGAGTGTGAACAACTGGTTTATGCCTCCACTTCCCCGTTTGTAAAGTGGGGGTTAAGAGACAGTTCGTGTTCCCAGGATGGCTGTGAGCCTCTATTTCAGGGCTGAGCACAGTGGTTGCACAGAGCGTAAGTGCATAGATATTGTGTGTGTTTTCCTCCATGTATGTACACTCAGGGATGCTATGTGGAAATGTATCTGTGTTCCCTGTGTGATGTTTATGTGGAATGAGAATCACAACGATTTACCGAGTGTTTGTGTGTCGGGCACTCTGTACATGGGGAATGCATGCATGTGAGGGCTCTTAGGTGTTCGGTGTGTGTATTGTGCACACCTGCAATTGCCCTTTGGAAAAAACTGAGAATATAAACAACCTTAAGGAGCCAGTATGCTGGGCACTGCTTTCTTGTTTACTTTCTACTTTCTGGGGTCCTAATATGAAATATTATAGAAATTGTTAACCTCAGGTGTTCCCCCATTGTCCCTTGTCCTCTAGGGGCTTCATGCTAGGTCCAGGATGGAGGGGCTGCTCTTAGCCTTTTCAGATGGCCTGAGGAGCTTGGGCCTCAGTTCTCATCCCCCAGGGCTCACCAGTGCATAGCATTTATATGTTGTTGTTAAGTGTCCTCTAGTCAATTCTGACCCATAGCGACTCTGCATAGGGTTTCCAAGGAGCAGCTGGTGAGCTTGAACCACGAACCCTGTGGTTCAAATGACTTTGCAGTCTGACGCATTAGCCCACAGCACTACACCAGGACTCCTAGCTCTCTGTACTCAGCAGGTAGTTAATCGGCACAAAGCCCAGCGCCCAGGGAGGACATGTTCCTGGCTCCCAGAGACCAGGAAGTTAAGTGTGTCCATCAATGTCTAGTACAAGACAGGTTTAAAAGGACAGCTGCATTTGTTACCTTGGGTGAGTGTGACCCTCAGTTTCTCCAACTTCCAAAATAAGAGGAGATCTGCCTCTTACTTAAACATACTTTCCTCTTGTCCCAACCTCTGAGATTTTGCTGGAAAGTTCTTTCACTGTTGTTGTTAGGTGTGGTCAAGTCAGTCCTGACTCATAGCGCCCCTACGTACAACAAAACACTGCCCAGTCCTGTGCCATCTTTACAATCATTGCTATGTTTGAGCCCACCATTGCAGCCACTGCCAACTCAACTCGTTGAGGGCCTTCCTCTTTTTGCTGACCATCAACTTTGCCAAGCATGAAGTCCTTCTCCAGGGACTGGTCCCTCCTGATAACATGTCCAATCCCTCACCATCCTTCCTTCTAAGGAGCGTTCTGGATATACTTCCTCCAAGATAGATTTTTGTTTGTTCTTCTGCTGGTCCATGGCATGTCCAATGTTCTTTGCCAACACCACAATTCAAAGGCATCCATTCCTCCATCTTCCTTATTCATTTTCTGGCTGCCGTAGGCACAGAAGATGATTGAAAACACCATGGCTTGGCCAAGTGCACCTTAATCTTCAAAGTGACATCTTTGTTTGTTTTAGGAATTTAATGATATATTTGCCCAAAGCAAGATAGCATTTCATTACTTGACTGCTGCTTCCATGGGTATTAATTATGGACACAAACAAAGTGAAATCCTTGCCGACTCCGATCTCTTCCCCATTGATCAGGATGTTGCTTATTTCCACAGTTGTGAAGACTTTTTATTTTCTTGATGTTCTCTCATTTCAGAGAAGAAATGGAACGACAGCATGGTGGCAGTACACACGAGGCTGGGCTAGGTGCTGCGTCCATCATCAGGGCAGAGAAGGTCTGGCAGAGCCAGGCCCGGTGGTTGTAAAGTCAGAAAGGACGTGCCATCTTCCCTTCCCTCTCTCCATATTCCCACCATGTACACGGGAAATTGAGGCTGCCTTAGGTGAGTGGGGTCCTGGTCTAGAGCCCAGGCCTGGTGGTCAGTGGGCCAGCCAGCCAGTGGCTGAGAGCCGGGTGCCAGGCACTATTATTAGCAGCACTTGGCATTATCTGGAGCTTTGGTCTAAAGTGGATCATTCATACCCATACTTATACCCTCTCCAGCAGCGTCCTGTGAGCCTGCCATGAATTCCTCCCCCAGGCTCCAGGATTGGCTAAGGGTCTGTCTCCAAAAAGCG